GTGTGAGTGCGTGCGTGCGTGTGTTTATGTGAGCTTCTGTAAGTGTGTTTGTGTCCCTCTTTGTCGTTGCGGTTTAGAGGACGTTTGTGGGTGAAAACTTGCTTTGCATTTTCCATTCCAAAAAAGTCAACAAACATTTTTCCAGCCACACGTCAGCGGGAGTGAAGCTGACAGAGAGCCTGAGCTGTGTGTGTGTGTGTGTGTGTGATGCTCTTGGCACTGTACTCATGTGTGTTTATATCTGTGTGTGTTGGCAGGCTGGGTTATGTAGATCATGCTGAAGAACTGGCTTCCAGATTTCTCCAGTGCTTCCCAAAGAACCGTCTCTCGGCCCAGGCGGCGCTTCATCACGAGTACTTCAGCCATCTGCCCCCGAGACTCTGGGAGCTGCCTGACAGTCAGTGAACACACATCACACCACTGCCTCACAGTCACATACTGCCACACTGACCATACGGCATAATGACATATTACCATATTTTCATATCATGTATGATGCTGTTTTTGCAGTATGCATGCATGGAATGCCATACATGTATCCCATGATGCAATGCAGTACACTTGACCTTCCATTTCCAGTATGATTAATGAACTGGAAGTAATATCAACCAATATCCTTTGTGATTCGTTGTTTATTTAAAAACCCCAAAAATATGATTCCACAAAATTTGAACAAAAATTCAAAATTATTTGACATCTGTCTGCCTTCTATTTATATACAGTACATAATTTAGTTTCAATACATTTGAAAAATTATGCTTTATTTATTTAGTTATTTATTTATTATTCATTCATTTTATGTTCTTAAATTATTTTGCTTTAAGACTTACATCTTTATTTTTCATTTTAATTAATTTATAATATGTACTTATCAAACCTTTACTTATTTCTTTATTTATGTTCTTTATTTTACGAGAATACTGTTGTCTGTATTTCTCCTATCTACTGTTATGCCTGTTTTCACCATTAAATATCAATTTCATATTATTTTCACTCCATTTTAATATCAAATTTATGTATTTATTTGTTTAGTTAGTTATTCATTCATGTTATGTACTTTATTTTAATTTAAGACTTTTGCCTTTATTTCTTCTATTCATTATTATGCATGCATAAAGCATTAAATAATCAATTTCGTATTATTTTCACTCCATACAATAAATCGGCATTTATTTATTTATTTTACGTTTATTTCTCCTTTTCATTATCATGACTGTTTAAAGCCCATTAAATACCCATTGTGTGTGAAATGTGGTATTAATTTGAACTTTCTCTTGCATGTTGCACACTTTCACATACTGGCCTTTTTAAAATGCAATGTACAGTGTATGCTACACAGTATGCCGTTTCATTATTATATCTGTTTAAAGCACTTTAAATAAGCATTGTGTACGTGATGTGTTTTTAAATGAATTTCTGTTTAAATCAGTAGTCAGTGTACAGTGTGTACTGTGCAGTATGCAGTAGTATTCCATTCTGAACACAGTTTCAGTGTCCTTCCTTCACTGTCAGCGTCTCCTGCCCTCCTTCACCAGTGTTTTACTCTCTCTGTCTCTGTCTCAGTGTTTCACATGCATCGTGTCTCACAGACGTGTGTCTGGAGCTGAATACCAAACACTGCTCAATTTGAGCTCATTGTGGTGATGCTGATGCTCAGATGCTAATTCACACAGATTCATGTGTCACGCTTCACTTTTCTCTGGAGACCAGCACACT